TCAGGCTTTTTGGTGTGACTGGGATACCTTCAGTTCTTCCCTTGCTTCCTTGGCAAGGAACTCTCTAGCCTTCAGCTTAAATCCACTCACTACATTCTCCACACCCACCATTCCTGGTTCTCAGCAACCATCCAACCATTCCCTGAGTCCCAACCACAGACTCTGTCTAGGTAAGACACTTTCCCGAAGTCTGTTTCTTTCTCCTGGTGAATTCAGATGTTTGGAGTGTCTTAAGAACTGAACCCTTTTACAGTGACTGTTCATAAAAACTCAAGCAATGCAAAACAGCAGCGAAGAGTTTTGCAAACATTCCTCTGACCCTTATCAGATTCAACAGCAGGTAACGTCTCGCCATGACTGCTTTCGGGTTGTCCCCAAATTGCATTTTATAGCTGCTTTCCAAAAACCAGGATCTAAAGGTTTTCCCTTCATCCCTTGATGCTCCGCAGGACACTTTACCCTTTTTTCCCCTTGCATATAGTTGATTTAATAATAACTTTTCTAAAGTTGGGAGCCAGCCATCGCCAGCTCCATGCAGAGCTGGTACCTTTAGCCCACTAACCCCCCTGTAACTCTGCTTGCCCTCGTATGCCAGACTGGTGCTGGCTGGGTTTGGATACTGTTTCTTCAACCTGTCCAGGTCCCCATTCACACGTGGAAAGTCTACAAAGTGCAGGTTCACATGAACTGCACACATAACCTCCTAACTCTCTTTAAAATAGTTTAAAACTAATGCCAAGCCTCTTTGATGCCTGACTAGAAGGAACTTTGTTATTAGGGGTGCTGGAAGACCCTCACAACTTTGGGCAGAGATTCTGAGGGGGGTGGTACAACCCCCCAAAACCAGAAGCTTCTACCCCTGCCAAGGGTCACAGGTCCACACAGGGTCTTCCCTTGTCTTGGTCCTTTTTACTTCTGGCCTTCTTCTTTTTGCCAGCTGGAGGTCCTTGGAGGCTCAGGGCCTGGCCTCCCCCTCCCTGGCATCACACAGCCACTCTCGTGTCTTCTCCAGCATGGGCATGATGTAATATGTACGTCCTCTTTTCTCTAAAACCTTGGCCTCAGCTTCTCTGGTCACTTCTTGCTTCCCTCTGGATGTTGGCAGAAGCATTCTGTCTCCTCTCCCAACTTCGGGCATGCCCCAGATGTCTTCTGAGACACAAGCCTTTTCCCAAGGTGGAAAAAGCCTTTGTCTTTAAAGCCACTTGGCTTCCCACCTTATACATTATTCAGCCAACATTCATTAGTGTAACTGCCTCAACCCTTACACTAGTGAAAGATTTCTGTTCTGATTGGTAAACAGTATGGTGGCCCTTGCAGACCACGGTAGAAAAAAATCAATTAATAATTAAATTCTAAATTAAACCCATTAATTCAGGCTAACCATGACAGGATGTCACAAGGGCCATTGATAAATGGGCCTCCCATGTACTTATTTATTACAAAGCACCCCCCTGCTGTGTGCCTCTCAGTTTTATCACTGTTTTGAAATCACAATTGTCCCCTGATTCTAATAATTGCTACTTTAGATGTATTGTTTGCACATTGCAATTCTTGCATACATTGTAAATGCAGCGTTTCAATATTTACAAGTTTAAGAATTCGTCAATAAAATATTAAAAACTATCTCAGAATAGAGAGACAGCCAACTGTGGATACACTTATTAGCGTTCTATGAACAGTCACTCACCTCAGTCATCTGCATCCATGGAGGACACAGGGATGTTTCTAATTAGCTGCATCTGGGAGGGGCTGCCCTTCACACTGAGAGAACGGGGCATGAAAAACACCCTTTTCATGTCTTCAACAGAAAGTAATTTCATGATTTTAACAAAAACATGGGTTTCCCGCCATTGCTACTGACATAAATGTATGACACTTGGAACTAATTCCTAAAAGGCTGTGTGGGAGACCTGAATATATCACCCCCACACAGGAATGATTGCTGGGTTGAAAGCAGTGAGGACAGGGCGTGTGCAGGTGAACTCTGCCCTCCCTCTACCTGCCTGAAGACAGGACACACTCAGAAAGAGGACTTCCCTCCAAGCAACGCCAACAAATTCACGTTCTCCTACCCTGGAGACTAGGCTGACCACACATTACAACTTTGGACCTTATCAGCCAATCTACCCAAACAAGCTCCGCCTTCACCTCACTCCGCCTGTTATTTGCTCTTCCCAAGTCACCATGCCTGGATACTCAAAGTCCTGTTCCTTTGCCTAGTGACTTCTCAAGGAATGTACTGTCATTTGAAGATGTTACATAAGCTGGAATTCAAAGCCACCCTTTCGAGAACTCCTCATTCTCTGTGTGTCTCCCACGAGTATATGAAATATACATGTTAGTAAACTTCTATTTGTCTTTGATTATAAATCTCTCTTGTCATAAGGGTCTCTTGCAAACTAAGAATGTACAACGGTTGAAAAAATGTTATTAATCCTTATAATTCACACACACACATTCATTAACATGTCAATCACATTATATCAAATCTTAGGGTTTAATTTCTTAAATTATAATTATCAGTCAAAAGGTAGAATACTAATCAGAAAATCATTTTTATACAATAATACATTTGAAAAAAATCTTCTGAATTAAGCATGATGCTGATAAAAACAATTTAAAATTCTAGGAAAATAGACTTCAAATGTTAAAACTGCTCAACATGTACTTAAGCATAATCAAGCATTTTAAAACATGAAGTATTCAATAGACATTAAAAAGTAATAGCGTCTATATAAGCAAACATTCATTCTAAATTCATTGTTCCACTTGTTGGAAAACATACCTACTTAAGTGAGAAAGCAGCTTATTTGACAAGTTATAAATCAAGACATTAAAATATTTATTTACTAGGAAATTTTCACATACAGCATTTTAATAATTTATTTAAAATGAAAAATCTAAACCTTTTTGATCTTGTGCACTTGAGAATAACACCTTAGGCAATAGACTAAACTTTATTATTCATACTTCAGAAAAATGACATCAATGAGACTGTGCTCACATCTACTAGAAAAAAAGTCTGGCATTGTAACCAAGATTTCAGAAACATCTGGGAATGCTTTTTTTATTAGTGTACATTAAGTGTTAAAAGTAAGGGGTTTCCATCCACAGAAAGACAAACATTGCGTGTTCTCACTCATAGTGGGTCCTAGCATCTTCAGATTTATGTGTCTAACCTGGAGGGCCTGTAGAATTTAGGTGTGTCTCAGAGAATCCCAGAGAACATAGGATATTGTCATTTGCTCCTGATTGCAACTAGAACTTGATGATAAGACTCTTGCTGAAGAAACTTTGTTCACAGAACATGGAGAAATCAAGTTGGCCCTGACTAGGGAGCTTCCTCCCTGATGTCTGTCCTTCATAGTACCAGAAGTTGCTATGCAGGCTTCTCTCTCTCTCTCTCTCTCTCTCTCTCTCTCTCTCTCTCTCTCTCTCTCTCTCTCTCTCTCTGTGTGTGTGTGTGTGTGTCGCTCATCAACAGTCTTATTCAGCTGTGAACCCAATGAGCTACAATAATGACTGATACGTGGAGATATGCCCATGGATGCAACAGTGGTGTGAATGTTAGGGGTGGGGATAACCAGGGGCTTTCTCCTTTGTTTTAAGGGCTGCCACAGGAGGAAACTCATGCCTGCTACGGTAAATCTGGCTGAGAATCCACGGATCCACGGTTGGGGAATTGTTAATGCCTAGAGGACAACGTACTACAGTTAGTTTGCTAATTGGAAATAGTATCGAATTGCCCTCGAACTTTGTATCTCTATACCTAGACAAGGGCAGTTCTCAGATCTCAAGAGAAAAGTTCCTTTGTGCAGTAGAGGACAGCTAATGCAGAAACACTCAAGCTGTCGATGTGCAGTGGAATGCTCAGCCAGCCACAAATGGGACAGCTACATCACACCCCTTCTCCCTGAGGCTCAGGGGCCATCCTGGAGAGGAGGCAGAAGAGGGGACAAAAACTGTAAGATCCAGAGGTTGGTCGATGGGAGTGAAACATTGTCTTCTGGACATAACCCGATGCTCTGAGATTCACTCCAAACTATGGTGTGTATCTAGACTCCCAAGTGACTTGCAAGTCATCCTTCAGGACATTTCTTCCTGCTTTCTGGACTGGCTCATCTGAAATCCCAGTTCTATCTGCAGGACTGGAACCTTTTTCATGGAGTGACTATGACACAAACTTTCTAAGATGCTAACACACTGTGGCAGAGTGTGCAGGAAACAATTCCTACCATTTAAGGATTGACTTGGTACTAAATGCTCCCCGCTAGGTCCCGTTTGGTTTGAAGATACTCATTGCTACTTTTCTGATAAAGAAAACAGGTTTTATTTGAGGCTAAGAAAGTTGGAGGAGGGAGTCTGCCTCCAACCTCACCTGCTCTAAACAATGCCACAGAGCAACACAGAAACACTTGCTGCTGCCTTATCCATGGCACCAGGTTCCTTCAACCCCCAATCATGCAGGATGCCAGGGGTGGGCTCTAATGCAGGATTCTGCGGCGGGTCGGGGGGGGGGGGGTGGGGTGGGGGAGCGAGACAGGGAGGGCAGGGGAAGGCTCAGGGTAAAGCCGAAAAGGCACTCCCAGATGAGGGGTACCTTACAGTCTGGGAAATCGGCCTAAGCAGGACCCAACCAACAGGAGCCCATCCACTCCCTCGACCAAGTCCCCTCACTTCCCGCTCTGATGTGCACGAAACTGCTGGAAGCCTAGGGGCGGCGGACGCGTCATCGCCATAGCCTTCCGCCTCCCCACTCGCTCCGGGCGCACGTGCTTAAAGAGTCCCTGCCCCTCCCGCCTCCGCGCGCGCGGGGCCGCGGCAAGTTTCCTCCGGGAGGCGGGCGCGCACCGCGTCTCCTCGCCACCGCCTCCCCGGCCCCCATCGCCGCAGTCTCCGCCCGAGGGGAGGGCGCGCTCGGGAGCCGGCGAGGGTGGGGCGTCTCGAGGGAGGGGTCCCAGCGCCGCAGTCTTCGCGGCGAGCGCGGGCGACAGCAGCAGCAGCAGGTGGAGCCCGGCTCAGTAGCGAGCAGCGCTTGGCCGGAAAGCCGCGCCGCAGCCGCCCGGCCGGGAGCTGGCCCGCTAGGCTGGAGCCCACGCCGCCCCGGTCCGACCCAGTTTCCCAGGCACCGGGTTACGGAAGCCGGCGGCCGGGGGACGCGGTTGGGGCCGGGGCCGGATGCATCTCTGTGAGCACAGCTGCGTTGGAAGACCCCAGCCCAGGGCGCAGGGCTAACGGGACCTGGCTCGCCTCGGCCGCCACCTAAAGACTTGTGCTCCCGGGCAGAGCGGCTGTGGGATTGGGGACCTCGGAGTCCGGGCACCTGGTATCTGGGTGGCGCGCTCGCCTCACCTCCTCTACTCCGGAGCGGACAGAGAAGGCTCTTTTCCAGGGGACGGACCTCCTCGTCCGGTCCTCTGTGGAGTCCTAGCCCCCAATGCCTGTTGGTCTCAAGAACCTCTCTAGTTGACACAGGTCTGCAGGTGTTCTCTACTGGTTAGATTTTTTTCCTCGGCTAGGGGAACAGTTGCCGCCAGTGACATTCCGTGCCCGTGGGCGCTCCACGTCCTGGGTCTCCTGTGCTGCCCGAGTCTTGCCGGCTTCGCTGACCCTCAAACTCTGTCTCTGCTTGTTGTGCGTGCTCCTAGCCTTTGGTTTTTCCGGGATCGTGCGGACAAGCCGTCTTTTCGGCCCCCGTTTGGGAGGGCACTCATATCTCCAGGGAGCGGTTTTGTGTGTGGTGGGATCGGGGTCCTCAACCATGGCCTTCACCTTCGCTGCTTTTTGCTACATGCTGTCCCTGGTGCTCTGCGCTGCGCTCATCTTCTTCGCTATCTGGCACGTGAGTAACCTGCAGCCGGCTTCTAACTCTCATTTGCCCCCCAAGCCCCTCTGCCCCCCATGCCCACCCCCTCTCCTCATTTTACCTGCCTTATATACATTGCAGGCGTAGGCGGACTGTGAGGCCAGATAGAAGCATTTGCTGGGCAGACCTTGTCCATCTCCCTTGTCCCGGAGCAGGAGACACAGTTCTTGGCATCCCGAGACCGGGCGGTACAGGTGCCATGCGCACCTTCTTGCCCTGGCTGGAGCCTATGGCCCGCGCGGAGTCTCTACCGCGCGGGGCATTCTCCTGGGCGTGGCAAGATGTCCCGGGCCGGCTCCAAGTGGAGTAGCGGCTTAAACCCCATCTGCCTGACTACCCCCCGCCCCCCTCCTGCCTGCAGGAGAGAAGACGCTCTGCCGGTGGCCCAGGCAATTAGTCAAGTAACTATAACAACTAAACATTTAAAATGTCAGCATCTGTGGTGGGTTGCGTTTAGACATAATTGGAGACTAAGTGGAAACACAACCAGGGCGCCTTGTGAGAGGAAGTAGGGAGAGGCCAGGCAGGAGGGGAGGCAAATCCAGGAGATGGGAGTGAAGGAGAGAGGGGGAGGAGGACCAGGATAAATAAGGTTCCAGGTGGTGTAGACCTGGTCAGGTCCCATCATCCCCAGGACACAAGCTTCCTCCCAGCGTGGAGAGCAGATGGGTCCTAGGTCAAGTGTGGTGTGGTATGGTGTGGAGCCGAGGACTCTTTTTTTTTTATTAAGATTTTTTTCATTCATTTTACACACCAATCAAAGATCCCCCTCTTACCTCCTCCCGCCCCCCAGCCTCCCCACACACCCCCCACTCCCTAAGCCGAGGAATCTTGAAGAGGAGTAAGGAAGAAGATACAGGAGGAGCAGATCCACTGTGTCACATTTCACCAACCCCTTAGCTTCCTTCTGAGGCTGGTTAAGGTACCCATTCTCACCCCGGGGTGAATAGTCAGAAAGGCCAAGGTCCCAGTGCCTGACACCCACTGTTAACAACCTTACCCCTCCAGCAGAGGTGGGGGGTGATGGAAGGGACCCCGAGACCAGCTCCCAGAGGCTCTGGGGGAGCTTTGGAGAGCCTGAGTACAACAGGAGATGACCCAAAAGGAAGAAGATTGGGGAGTAGTTGAGATGCCGGTGTTTTGTCTGAGTGGTTTCTAGTGTGAGAGGGTCTGTCTTAAAATAGAACCCGGCGTCTCCTAAGGGCTGTGGCAAGGAGCAGAGGGAGAGCGTCTGGGGAGGGGGAAGGGGCTTCTAACCACTGGACCCCAAAAAGACCCTGTAGATCACATCTAAGCTTCAACCTCTTTCTAAGATTGTGTAATCACTTATCAGTAGGAATGGATTCTGATGTAGGAATTTGGGGGGCTCATATAAAAAGCCCTGCTAGTTAGATGTGATGGGATTTTGTCCTCTCTGCCCTGGAATGCTGGGTCTTTTCTACTACAGACAGTGGGATTTGAGGCTGTTGGCAATTGCTAAGAAAAAAAATGAAACCAAACCAGGTTTAGGATAAAGAGGGATTCAGGGTAGACAGTGCCCAAATATGCAGCAGAGATCTGCTCCCATGTTCTAAAGGAACTTTAGTGGCTTCTTCGGATTTGGAGAGGGAGCCACATCCTCGAAGCCTAATACTTAATTTGCTGTTTCTTCCTGGTCTTGCTTTGTCTGGAGGGTGGCAGCACCCCAAACTCCTTCAGACTTGCTGTTCACTGCACTGGTTCCTGAGGCAGGGTGGGTCACCAGGAAGAATTCTCTTCTCTCCCTCAGGGTGCATGTGGATGGGGATAGGAAGGGCAATAAATAATTCAAGAACAAGCTGATTAAGTGGATGGTTTGTGCAGCTAAGTTGACCAAGAGACATCTGAATGACGGTTGCACGTCCTGGTGATCCTGCACTGGTTTCTGCCCGCAACCCTCATCTTCCAGTCTGAGGGAGTACAGTGTGGTCGCATCCCAAGTCAGGTTCTGTTGGTACAGTGAGTGGAAGGGGCACAGTGGCAACAGGCACAGCTCGTTTCCCAGTCTTTCCGTTCCCTCTCTGAATCAAGCAATCCGATCCCCACCCCAGGGATCCGATTCCTGAACACTCAAGGGGAGCTCAGATATTCTCTGATTTCCCGATACGCACACTGTGCATTTGTGGATATTGGTTGAATGGTGGTAATCACTTCAACCTAATACTTAGGAGAGTTAGTAGATGGTGCATTTGCCTTCTTTCCGGCACCTTATATTTCTATACATTTCCTGATCTGATGAGTCATATTGATTGCTTAGTATGTATTGGCATCCCAAGCAATGAATCCGCATTTAATACACAGCGGTTAAAATGCCTGCACCCCCTGGGCTAAAAGACATGCAGGTAGTATGTTTTTTTTCTTCTATTTATTTGTATATGTACATACCTAATTAAGAGAAATAATGGAAGTTACTATTTATCCAGTATGTATTTATCCACGCTCGGTCCTGTGTAGTTTGGAGAAGACCTCTCAGGTGTACCTCCAGTTAGCCCATCTTCCCTCCCCCACCCTCCCCTGCACGTCTAGAAGCAAAGATAGGTGTGGCTAGGCATAAGCATATTTAAATATTGATTTTTGCCTTGAAAATCTATCTGCATTGTTTTCACATGAGATTATTTCCCATCAGCCACTGCATCTGAGTACATTTGTCGTGCTTTGCAGAAGCAAAGTGAGATGCGTTTTTTGTTTGTTTTAAACCCTGGCTTTGTGCTCTTCATGGATATTGTCTCTTACACACCAGGGCGTCCTTTAGTCCCCACAGATGACTTTTTTACACAGGAAGAAACTGTAACTCCGAGAGGTTCTCAAAGGTTCTGAAACTTGCTCAAGCTTGTACAGCTAGTGTATGTTGGGCCTGGGATTTGATCTGAGTCTGTGCGACTCTTATGGCCAAGCCTTTCCCCAACTGTGATCACTGGTGCTGAATTATTGATTTAACAATAGTTTCTATCCCAAACATTAGCTTCTATGTCGGTAAGATATTTAGAGTAGACTTTCTGGCTGGAGCAGAACGAGGCTGGAAACAGGACTCCTCTTCCCTCTCCCTTCCACCTTGTTTCGTTTCATTTGGGTTTTTTTTGGTCAGATTATTGATTTATAGTCCAGGCTGGCCTGGAACTCATGTTCATCCTGCCTCTGCCTCTGAAGTGCTAGGACTATAGGCATTTATGGCTACACCCAGCTCTGTGGATTCCTCTTTAAAAGAAGAAATTCTATTTCATCTTAAAAATTAGACTTTTGCTTATACAAGGATACAGGCTCATTTCCAAAAAGTTTGAAAATACAATATGCCATTAAACAAAAGTCACCACCCACTTTTCCATCAAGAAAAGATCAGGCAGTTTGTGTGTGTGTGTGTGTGTGTGTGTGTGTGTGTGTGTGTGTGTGTGTGTGTGTGCACGCGCTCATTAAAAAAACTGCATGTGGATGTTTAGAAGGGAAAAATCCCACAAGTGTCCTGAAAGGTTTGCTATGTGGAGCGATGTCTGTTTCCAGCCAGTTTGAGATGAACGGTGTTTACTCACAATTCAGAATCTCCTCTGCTCCAGCTTGGCCGAGCCTGTTTGCAGACGGTCTTGTTATATAAACACAGATGAAACTGTTTTTTGAAAAGATCAAAGATGCATTACCGCTGATTTCAGGCTTTCAGTTTTCCAGGTTTTTTAATAGCTAGAGTCCCTCTGAACTTTGGCAATTAACAAATAAAATTAGTTCTCAGTGCTGCTCTCCAGAAAGGCTTGATGTATCTCCCCATCTTGAAATGGCTTTGGGCTCTTGGCTGCATTCATCTTTGGAGTCTGAGTGGACCTCACAGGTGATAATGAGAACTAGTCTGCTGAGGGCAAGTTTTACTAGACAGAATGTCTTCATGGCTGAAGACCTTTCAGCCAGTTCTAGCCTGTCACAGACCCAGCCACTAGGAACACATCTCATTTTCTTCAGTTATCCATCTATAAAAAGAAAGGGGGCAATTTTTTTTTTTTTGTGAAACAGGATGCTTGGGGCTCCTTGTAACCTTTTTCTCAGAGACCCTCTTTGGCCTGAGCCAGGGGCGGCATGAGCCCCTGCCAGCCCTTCCCTGGCCTCCACTGCTGGTCTGTTTGGATCAAGCCATCCTCCAGCATCCAGGGTCAGCCACCGGCAGCGGCTACTTGTCCACTCTGTCCCCGGCCCCCCCTCCTCCCCGGTCTCTCTCCATCCATGCAGGGAGAGAAGGGCCTTTACTGCCCATCTTTGTTCTCCGAAGCTGAGGATGACCCTGGGGCACAGAGGAGCTTAATCAACTTTATGACAGATTCTCCTGCCCTTCTGCCTGGCCCATTTCTGGCTGCCCCTGGGAACCACACCCTAGGTAGCAAGGAATGTGCATCCTTTTCTGGACTTTCATGGTGCTTTGGGACCTGGAGAACCACAACTCATGCAAAGAAGACCCACCATTCCAGGAGGCTCAGGGACCTTGATGCTAGCGAGGAGTCCTCCTGCTCAGGGTAGGGAGCATGGTGACCCGGAGGGCCCCCCCTGTCAGGTGTGATTCGTGTTTCTCGTCTCAGCTTGTGTCGAGTGTTGACTGGCCGTCTCCCAAGCCAGTCTTGTCTTCACTGACTCTCCATCGATCATGTTGTAAGAACAGAGTGAGGAATGGAACCCAGACGCTCTGGAAACGAGCCAGGGCTGGCTGGCAGAGCCTCACCGGTCGCTGACGTTTCTAGGCTTCCTCAGGTGGGATGTGGCAGAGGCACCAAGGCAGTTTTCCTCTGACTCTCCAGTCTCTGGACGAAGGCCGGTGAAGCTGTGTGGCCTTGTCGGGGGTGTTTCTACCTGTACCCTGTTTCCACCCTGAGACCACCCTTGACTTCCCTTCCCGCCTGTCCCCTCCAGCCACTGCTATCTGCTGTCTCCTTTGTGTTCATGTGGCTCTGCACCTTATTCTCTGGACCAGTTTTCTCCTACTGACTTCC